GCGATCATAGGCTTCTTCATGCCAGTCTATGTGACAGTGTGACGGTGCTAGCGCATTTCTCGGCTTCTTTGGTTCTGTGCTGCTCCTGCTGGCCAGGTGATTCTCTTCGTGGAGCGGGGCGTCTTCTTGAAAGTCTTTCTGGGGATTCAATGGAGCCATCTTCAGAAAGAGAGATTGAAGCTCTTCAGCCACTTATGCCTTTGCAGACTGTGGGTCGTCCCTCGCTGTCAGGCGGTGTGCTTGTCAGGGGCTGCTCGCAGACCGTGGGGCAATTGGCTTGCGCCGAATCCTCTGTCACCCCCTTCTGTTAGGCCTCGACTTTCAGCGCCTTACATTAGGGAGGCCCCTGCTCCAATTCCGGCCCCTCGCAGGGCCGCAGATTATTTGGCATGCGCCAGTTAGGCATCAAGCTCCGGTTGGGCCCGCCCTGGACTCAGCTGGAGTGGCATCTGCAGCGTGGACTTCCAGGCCTTCCATTGCACCGGTCAACTTGGATGGTGGTTCGCGCATTCGGGGTCCAGCGGGCTTCAGATCATCTGCGATGTTGCATGCTGAAGTTTGGCAGAAGTGCTTGAAGTTATGGGCCCTGGTTCAACCACTGTTGCAAACCATTTCGTCGGTGTTGCAGGAGCTCGGGGAATCTCGTCACGCATCAACTCTGCTGCAAAATCTGCTGAAGTCAGTTTCGGAAAACACTTTGGTTCGATATCTTGCTCATGTGCTGAAGTTTATGGGCACATTACAGGATTTGAATTGGGCAGCAATCAGACAGCTGGAAGTGGTCGATGCTCTTCTTTCCATGCACAAGTCAGGTTCGCATGTCACCAACGGTTTGAAGGCGGTTCGCGGGGCAGCCAAGACGTTTGGGCTCGCTCTCCCTGATCTCTACGGAGGGCTCTTGGTTGGAGTGGAGGCTCGCATTACTTCTGATAGAAGGGAAGCCCAGGTTCTGGCACAAGACAGCGTGGATCGTCCCTTTCCCTATCCGTGCCGCCATGGTACCAGCTTCGCTCGAACCGCAGGATTGCCACTATGTCCCGCAGTGATTGACATTACGACTTCTTGCCGATTGCCAATACAAGCACATGCGCCTGACCGTCCACTGCGCTGCAGGTCGGTACTTAATTCCACCGCTACGATGATCAGATTATCAGTGGAGGATGGGCTCTCCTTAGACTTTTTTTCCAACAAATTATTCTGGAGGTTACATGTGGGTCTGAATGTCATCCCGCACTCTATTTCCAGACCGATGTGGGAGTGGTGTGCCTCCCTACGTTTGTTCCACTTGACCCTGCCGCTTTTTGCTTACGTGTTTTGCCAAGCATGGGAGACCGGTGGCTCCCAATGACGCAACCGGAAACCTCTGGAACATCCCATCAGACTGTCAGGTCTGCAGGTGCATGTCTACACCGTACGACGGGACACACTTCTGGATGACCATACATATGATCTGTCAAAGCTTGCACAGCAATTTCCCACTGGATGACATTGACTCCAACTTGGCAATTGCCCCGTTTGAAGTATTCCACAAAGCTGTCTAGGGGAGCCGACATGAGGCGAACCGGGGGACCACGGCCTTCCCATGCTTTACACCAACGTCAACTGACTTATCAGGTGATCCATCTTTTATCGGCGAGTGGTCACGAATTCCCCTTGTGCGTCGGGTGAGCTTTACCAGCAACTCTAGAAGCGTCCTTTCTGACTAAGCTTTTCCCCACGGTGGCCGGAAAATTTACCCTAGTCCTGCCATCGTCTCACCCGAAAAGGGTAGCGAAGAGCCCTGTATAGACATGTCCATCGTGTATGAAGTTTTTCCGGAACTTGTTCCCCAAGCTGTATGCTTCCGCCGACTCTATGTTTTCCCCGCACGTTAGTCCCATTGACAGGGCTGCTGACGAGCGGTCTCACTTGTGGACACGCTCTGCGCGACTGAGAGAGAGAGAAGGGAAGCCCTTCCGCTTCCTCTTTTCGTGTTGGCCTACTGCGAGCGGGCCCTCCTTCTGGAAATGGGCTCAGTGGGGTTCAGATTATTTCTGGGTGCAATTCTCATTTCGGCATCAGCTAGCCTTCGCTTCTCTGACGCGCAACACATCTTATGGACATCGATTCAAGCTGCTCAAGATAATGTGCGGGCCATCTCATACAGAACGAAGTCCTCCCGGAGGGGGATGCCGTTCGGCTTCGTGTCGTGTGGGTACTACGGAGACTCTGGGTCCTACTACCACAGCTGGGTGTGCAAATACCTTTTCTTGCTGGGATCAGAATGGGATTCAATTGTTTCGCGCTTTGGAGAGACAGTCCCGGATGCTCTGTTTTTCATTTCCAGCGAAACGGAATGGCAACCTATGAGCTACGCTCAAGCACTATCGGCCTTCAGGGGAATTCTGGTTTTGGCGGGCATGAGCCCCACAGAAGCTGCTTCATGCACTTTGCATTCCTTGAAGACTTGCCTATTGGCAGCGTTGGCACAACTGCAGGTGTCCTTTCGCAAACGAGGCCTTCAAGGTCACCACAGAACTGGACAGAACGGCTGCGTTCTTCTTTATAGCAGGGACGATGTTCATGGCGCTCTGTCTCTTCAACAGCTCTTTTGGGATCGGGTGCGTAGCGATTGGATGCCGCTGAGTCCGCAGGCTCGCGGCGGCCAACAGCCAGCCGCGCAACAAGCTATTGAGCCTAAGGTCTTGTCCTACTCTTCGTCTCCTGCTCATCATCGGTTCCTGGTGGAAGCTGGCTCATTGGCGGCATCGGTGCAGGCCCCGGTTCAGGAGCAATCGCGGGCCCCGTTGCAGCCAGATCACCCACACTGCGAGATCTTCAAGGTCTGTTTCATGTGTGGTGGGCCGGAGAGCTTGAACACACAGCCAGTCCGGTATCGGAAGGTAAGTATGGTGCCCTTCAGTATCTGCTGAAACGACAAAGGCAGCGACCGAATGCGTCCTCATTCGTCGTTCCTTGGGCGGTCTTTGAAACATTCCAGCATTTGCTCAGTGCACGGCCCCTTCATACGCAAGGTCAGCCGGTCACAATCAGCGCCGTTGAGGCTCAGCAAGTCGTCATGCAGCTGACAACCTTGGAAACGGTGAATGTAGCTCCTCCACCAGTCATCAAAGACTCTAGGCAGCTCGGCGTGCGCATGCCGCACAAACATCCCAAATGGGATCTCCATCGGTCCTCCTTGGGCTCCTTTGGCACTGCGCATGTGCTGCGTGCTGATGGTTCGCCTTGCTCTACACTTGGGGAGGCCGACGCTGCTTTGCGAGTTACGAGAGCCTTCTGGCAGCAGTCCCCACAGGACTACTCCCCCGAATGGGAACTGGTGCTGAGTGACTATCAGCCGCAGCCCGTTACTCGCTGCGTTCTGCCACAGGAAGAGGACATTATGTTCCATCTCTTGCGTACGGGGGATTCCTCTGCGGGACCTGACGGCTGTCCCTATGAGTGCTATCGGCAGCTGCCCGCTGAGTCCGCACGAGAATTGCATGCACATTTCCTTGACATCATCCTTGGGTGTGCCCCTCCGCCGACGCAGGCCTTGACTTTCATTCCCAAAGCCGACGCGGGACATTATGCGGATAACTTCCGCCCCTTGGACATGCCGGATACCGCTGCTCGCATTATCGATTCTGCCGTCTTTGCTTCTGCGATGTCCGCCATTGCACCTTGCCTGAATCAGTCGCAAGCTCTCGTTAGCCGTCTGAAGGAGGCCCCAACCAACTTTATGATGGTCCAGGATTGCCTTCTCTCAGAAACGCAACCTTGTAATGTCCTGCTTACGGACATGGCTAAAGCTTTCGAACGGGTTAAACTCGAAGTTCTTCAACGGCTTCGTGTCCCGCAATGGGTTCGCCAATACACCATACATTTCCTTTATGGCCGCAAATCACTCCATCGAATTCAAGGCTTCCTGTTGCCTCCATTGCGTATGCGCCAAGGCCTTGCGATGGGACGGGCTACGTCCGTCCTTTTGTTTTGCATTGCCATGGACCCCTTGATCTGCTCCCTGCAGCGCATCCCTAGAGTGCGCATGCTGAAAGCTTATATGGATGACAACTCCACGGCAGGCACTGACGTCGGATGGATTGGTGACGCACAAACCAGGTTCTCCTCACTATATAGTGCAGGATTTCACGTCTTAAAGCACGAGTGCTTTACCGCCTCCCGGGTGTCGGTAGAGGCGGCCACACATCTCCGCCATGCTCTGCCCTCGGGCATTGTCTACCCTGTCCCGCCGGAGACCCTTGCTCTCATGCCACAAGATGGAGCACCACCTCTTGCAGCAGCTAGCTTTACCGAGGTCTGTCATCGGGTGCTCTCCGCGCACACCCTTCCGACGTTCCAAGTGTGCAGTGGTTCTACTGCAAATCCGGCGATACGCCGCTCCTTGCGACGCAACATGTCCTTCGAGCTTACATTGCAGGCCACTTCACTGACAGTAAGGTCGTTAGCTCCTTTTTGTTAGCACCGTGCAAATGCAAGTGCAAGTCTTCTTTGCTCTTTGGGCGGGCGCCCGACCCCGAACAAGTATCCCTGCTTGATGCAACGCCCTGGGGCCCCAAGCTTTGTACGGAGTCGGCTCCTGTTGTGGGTTTCATGTTATGGGGTGCGCCAACATACGTTGGCAGCACAGCTGTCCCGTGCGCCCTCCCAAGAGCGCAGGTACTCTTGACTGGTCAAAAAGCTGCTTCTTCCATCACTCGAAAACGGAAGCTTTTCCAGCCTCTCCGTCAATCCCTGCCTGAGCGTGCCATTTGTTGCCGTGCGTACTTGCAGAGCTGCCTTCAGTACACGCAGCAGGTTGTTCCACCGGATGCCGGTGAGCAGCAACGTACTCTCGTCGCGTGTGCCCGGTATGTCTTGGGGGGGGGACGACACTGGCTCGAGGCGAAACATGTAAATGGCATTTTTCGCATATTTAAGCTCCAAGCCACTGGTTTGCCCGCTTGGGAGGCTTCTTTGTGCGCTGCCTACATCTACTTATTTGGCTGTCGCACGTCCTCATGTTGTACTTAGATGATCTGCTTCTCTGGCAAAACTCTCGCGTCTTGCCACTTCGCTCTTCCCTGGTTCTGGCTTTCTGTTCCTGCTTCAATATCCCGCTTAGCTGGCGGAAACTGCAGATGGGGCCTTCCTTAACCTGGATAGGATGGCAAATAGACTTCAGCGCCGGCTGCTACACGTTACCCGAGGCCAAACGCTTGAAGCTGCTTTCCCAGGTGGAGGATTGCCTGCGGCATCGCTTGGTGAGCCGCAAACAGCTTGATAAACTTCTGGGTCTGCTTCAGTGGATATTGCATGGGCTTCCAGCTTTACGCCCGTGGCTATGACAATGTACGATGACATGCGTAGACCGCTTGGCACCAATGTAAGCATCAGCCCATGCACCTGGCCAGGCATCCACGCTTACCTGGATGACAAGCTTCACTTCACAGGATGTCCGCCAGGCACCTGTATCTCGGCAGGTTCCACTTTGTTGTCTGCTCGGCACAAGACTCTACGCAGCAAGGAGGACCTGTCAGCAGTTCCTGTCAGTACCAAGCGTATGTGGCTTCGAGTGGCAGACCCTACATCTTCCAAACGGCGCTTGTCTGAGTCCAGCAGGGAAACCCTTGCTTTCTTCGCACACTTGAGCTCCAGAAAAAAAACCTTTGCGGCCACCGCCTACCAGTCCAGTAGAGTCCGCCGCAGACGCTTTTGGCAAGGGCAACGATTGCGGTGTCGGCGGATGGCTCCGCTTACCATCCGGGCGCCTGCTTTGGTTCTCGCATCGCTATACGGTTAGACACCAACTTAGGTCTGCCAATGCAGCCCGATGCCAACTTGGATATTTCCAGCTACGAGACTCTGGCACAATGCTTCGTGCTCTTCGCTTTCTGGAAAGCTCACGGCTCTGGACGCTTGGCTCTCACATTACCTGCTTTGAGCGATAATAGTGGCGCTGAATCAGTGTGTAATAAATTGTACACCTCAAAAGTGCCGCTTAATTTTTTCGTTCGCAAGCTTTCTATGTGGAGCTCCATCGCCGGAGTCACTTTGGACTGCAGCCACATCTCTGGTGAAAAGAACGACGACGCAGATCTGCTTTCACGCTGGGATGGCTCCAGCAGCTTGCCCGAGAAGTTCGCCGCGGTAACAAACCGCATCGAGCTCTCGCTTCCTGAGTTCTGGCATGTAAGCTTTCAGGTTTCACTCTTCCCTCCTGAAACGTTTTTAAAGTGGCAGCTTCCTGCGAAACACAGCTTGGGCCCAACTAACGTGTTTCCGGCAAGCCGAAAAAAGGAGAAGTGCGAGTGAAGCCATGGTCGACTTTTGCTATTGCTTTTAGCTCGCAACTGCCTCGTAGCCTTTTGGTGTTGCGTGGTGTCGAACTGTCCTGAACGGTTCCTGTGTTCACTCAGGGTTGTTTCGGCAGTTCTTACCCCCGCGGCCCCGCTTGGGTTCAAGCATACACCACGCAACAGCAGCTCGCTTTCAAAAACTTTCCCGCCTGCCCACACCTTTTGGGCACGCTTTCAGCACAAGGAGCTTTTCAGTCATCGCCCGCTATTGCGTACTATCCTGCTTTCGCTTCTCGTTTGGTACGTTATGCTACTCTGCTTTTTATTCTATCTAGCATCGCTTACCGATACGGGCTTTTCGAGTGCTCCGCTGATCCAGCTTTCCATCCGGAAGGTCGAAGACCCCGGAGACCGGCAGCAGACAGAGCTGAGCAGTCGTGTTTCCGGCAAGCCGAAAAAAGGAGAAGTGCGAGTGAAGCCACGGTCGACTTTTGCTTTTGCTTTTAGCTCGCAACTGCCTCGTAGCCTTTTGGTGTTGCGTGGTGTCGAACTGTCCTGAACGTTTCTCGTCCTGCCCGCCCAAGCCCCCTGTCGTTTCACAGAATCTGCTCTTGTTTGTGGAACGTGCCACCAAAAAAGTTCCCAGTCTTCCCACAGTCGTTTTCACGACAACCGTTGCCCTGGGCCCTGCCCGGGCGAGCGTGCGTACTTGTTTCCTTTTTCGAGACAAAAAAAGTGGAGACTAGTGGTTGGATTGTGATGTCTTTTCATGTGTATGCAATTGTATGTTGGATTGAAAGATGCCATCCTTCATATAGTGCTTGCCCTGCGTTTCGCCAAAAGGGAAACACAACCCTTGTTCCGAAGCAAACCCGAATGATTCAGCATCGGCTGCATTGATTGGTTTGCGCTCGTTGTGCATAGCTTATTTTCACACTGGAGAAGTTGATTGGAATGATTTCTCAGATATGCTTTTGGTGCAGCACATATAGCTGTTTCCATGTAGTAACAAACGCTTTGATGTGAGATTTTGAAAGTTTTCCTTTGCACTTAACGATACAGTTCAAGGCAACTTTTGTTGTTTGGCGGAGGCTCAAGGTGCGTAATGAGCAGGGGCTGGCCCAGTCTCTGAAAAAGAGTATCATGGCGTCCGGTTCTCGCATACAGCTTCTGAACTTCGCTTTTCATAGACCATGATACATCTGAGGACAGCTGCTCCGGCCGTCACCTTGCCACCGGAGTCGGTGCCTGTGATGACCGTCTCCCAAACCACTCCAGTCGCACCAGCGGCAGCCACGGTTGCGAACCCGGTCTACCAGGCGCATGTAAGCTTTTCTGGCCGTGAGAAATTTGAGAATCATGCCAAGATGACAGGTTTGGCAAGGACTCCAAGGCAGGTAGTTCAGTGGTTTGTCGGAGGCGGCTAGACTTTCCAGTCAGGCCTTGGTTGCGTAGAGCAGGTGCAGTGCTGTGCGATGCAGATCGAGTGTGGGCGACTCAGGTTTTGGTATGTACTTGGTGTGAACAGCAGCAGCTTCTTACTTTCAATTTGGTGAGGTGTGGCCCTAACAGGTTCTACGCCAGGCGAGGGCGATTCTGTACACGGAGAGTTGATGAGGATAAATGTGCTTTTCTGGAGGTCTCCTGTTGCTGCAACGGTGACCCCAGCCACAGTTGCTCCCGGAGTCACCACGACAACACTTAGTCAGACAGGCCTGGATCCCAGAACTTCCACAGATGCGAGCGGGCTTGGTGCAGCTTGCATCCTAGGCCCTGTTTCTGCTTCGCTGCCTGCTCGGCACTCATCAGACGAGGGAGTGTAGCGCACAAATATCGAGCCTGACTTGCAATGCATAGGGCATAATTAGGAGTGCACTTCTTCCGCAGATCCTACGCAGATCCGACTTCCTTCGCTTGTTTTGTGCCATCTTCGAGTATGTTTTCCTGCGGCCACGGCCCAAGGCACCTCCTTGGATGCAAAGCATCGGAAGTCAGGCTGGGTGGGTTTTACACCCCAACTACAACACAGTCCTACTGGTCTCATGTGGATTCTTACTTGTGCCTCAAAGTCTGGCACCCATTGTCTGCAGCATGATCCCCGCAGCACATTGAGCAACGAAGCCCTGAGAGTAATCCTGGTTCCAGATGGTACGAGAAGCACAACAGCACAACAAACTGTGAGCTGGTACTCAACGCAATCTGCCAACGTAAGTGTCAAGCGGCTGTTGGTCTTGTGCTCCGCTTCAACTGTGACCATGCCAGGGAGTTGTACAGCAGCCCCTTCCTGTTGCTGCGGCGGTTGGTACATCGGCGACACCCGTGGTGCAAACGTCCTCAGGAGTGGTGGCATGCTCAGGATCTTTGCCTGTGAATCACGGGCCGCTTGCGAGTGTGCTAAGTTTATACCTTCGCCCTCAGCTGCCTCTCCCATTGTGGCCTCCACCACGCAGACATCTTCCGGAGTCGCGCCGGCCTTTGTGGGTGCAATGTTTGCAGTGCTTCATTGGTGTGTGTGCACAGGCAAACACAGGCAAGCAGAGCAGAAGAGCTCAGAAGCTTGATTTTTGTGGGCCCAGTTCGTGCCATCGCCAGCCAACGCGTCCATCCCCATCTCGGGTGCCGGCCGAGGAAATGTGTACCCCTAAGCACCTTTAAGCCGCGGGCTGATCGCTAATCGGAAAACGGCTCATGTGAGGCGATGCCCATCGCCGCGACCGGATCGCCGGTGGTTTCAATGAGCGCTCCGCCCCGGGCCTGGCTTTGCTTTGAAAGTTTGACAAGCGGCAATAAAAAGTACGCCTGCCGCGGCCGCGGCCCCTCCTTTTGCAGGCCTATGGCCGCCATCCCGGTGCCAGCAACACAGCCGGTCCGGAGTCCCAGCCGGGCCCGCGGGGTTCCTTTCCAGAAATCTTTTGGGGGTCTTTGGCGTCTCTCCGAGGCCTTCGAGAAGGTCCCCCTTGCAGGCGCCGAAGGGGCGAAGGGGCGAAGGGGCGAAGGAGCAGCAGAGCAGCAGAGCATCGCTTCTCACTCGAGTCGCGCGTGCGAGCGCGCGCGCGCGCGCAGAGGCTCCGCTCAGCCGCCCTTCGCCCCGGCGGCGGCGGCCGGAGAGAAGAAGGAGGCGCGAGCGGGAGCCGCGGCGGTGCCATGGCGGGGGCCCCCGCCATGACACTTTCTTTCGCCTGATGCTCCACGGCCTCTTCGAGGGCGGGAGTGGCGTGGTGCGTCCCTTCAAAGCACGCTCTCTCCTCTCCTTTGTGCCAGGGCAAGGGCTCGAAGAGCGACAAAAAAAAGCGATCAAAGAAGATGCTTGACTGAAATAGACAAAGCACATGCCATCCAATTTTTCGTCTCCCAGGACGAAGTGCTGCGGCTGCTTCTGACAGCTTTGTCATGCTTGGACACCCTGTCTGGTCTGTGCTCTGGAGACCATGCAGCTTCTGTCGCCACTGGTGATTCCTCCTCAGGCCTATCCTAATTTCGTGCATTCAGGCTGAGCAAAAAGCGATGGCTGATATCACATGATGCTTCGCCACTGTAGTTGAAGAGCTTCTTCCCAGTCTTTTGAATACCTGACTACTGCGGTTGTGTTCTTCTTACTGAGAGCCGCTGGCTCGTGCCCGCTTTGTCGCTGCAGCACACAGCACGCAATGCCGTCTTTCCACTTTGAAGTGGAGTACTCCAAAAGCGGACGCGCCGCCTGCAAGCAATGCAAAGACAAGATTGCCGGGAGCTCGCCATGTCTTTGCGCTGCTTCTGCAACCCTTGAGGCTAGCGCGCCTGCCCGGCCTAGGAGAAAGACGCCGTCCGCATTGGCGTGAAGATGGTTGTGGACATGGAGCATGTGGAGGGTGCGGATGCAGCGGAAAGGCAAAAGGGGCATGCTGCGGAGGCGACAAAGTGGCATCATGCAGGCCAAATGGGGCTACGGACTCGCCAGAACATGTTCGCATCCATGGTGTCGAGCAAGACTTTCCCTGGCAAGCAGTTCTCAGCTTACGCTGCCGTGTCTAGCGAGTTTGGGCGACCCAGGCAGCAGGCTATGTGAACCATTTTGATTTCAGAAGCTGCAGGGGCGCAGGGAGGAGCAGAGTTTCTTGGGGTTCAGGAAGGGTGCGGGCAGACAGTACGACCCAAACGAGAACACGGTACAGCTGGAACTGAAGACTGTATTTGTTCAGGAGTGTGAGTCCGCAGGCTGCTTCCCCAAGATCAAGAAGCCAGCTTGGTTTCGTCAACACTTGCCAAAGAATGATGCGGATATCACTGGGTTTGACAGCCTGACAGAGGAAGATCAGGAGCGAGTCTTCGGTCTGAAGTTAATCGAGAAGGTGGCTTGCTGAGCTGCTGTGAGGGTTGTTGGCACGAGGTCAAAGAAGTCTTGAAGACTTGCAGGGGCGAGGACGCTCAGGTGAGCCCCCTGGCATCGCCATGCGTGCTGCATATCAGGATGGCAAGAGAAAGCCAGAGCCAGACACCTCGGACAGGTGCAATCTGCTTGCAAACATGCTGAAGGAATAGTAGTAGGGCTTTTCTCCCACAAGTGGTTTTTTCCCTGCATCGTACAGTATTTCCCCAGTAGCACAGCATTGTGCTGGCGCGAGGCCTTCGAAGAAGGCAAAGCTTGCCGAGGAAGGGAACTCCTGACATTTTTGCACCAGTGCTGTGCAGTGTCTCAGGAGGCAAAAGATGGGGAAAGCAGTGCGTTGTCAGCGCAGCAGAAGGAAGCCATCGAGACTCTAAAGGCTGGGCGGATCTTTCCTCACCTGAATCCTCAGCTGAGTCCTCTGAGGCGGAGCTCTCCAAGAAGAGCGTCGCTGCCCTGGGCCGCCTCCCGAGCGGAAGGCGGAAGGCGCAGGCGGCGCAGGAGTCCGGCGCTGGCCCAGTGGCCCAGTGGCTGAGGCTCTATGCTTCAGAAGAACGGGCTGCCGAAGCCCGGAACCGGGAGAGCGGAAGAGCGGCCCGTTCTCTCTGATCTCTGTGTTGTGAGAAGTAAAGAGAAGAGAAGAGTCGAGTCAAGGAGAAAAAAGCGGTTCGCGGCGGCGGCACTCCTCGCAGCGGCTCAGGTCCGGGCGCAAGGAGGAGCTCTTGGAGCGCGTGGCGGAAGCCAAGGCTCTCGGCGTTCCGCCGGGAGCTTCGTGTTTCGAGCGGTTTCGAGCGGTTTCTCTGCTGTGCTCTGCTGCGCTCTTCGAGTCTCTCTTCTCTCTTCGACTCTCTTCTCTTTGTCCTTTTTGTGAGGCCCGTGTGCCCGACCTGTGACAAAGCCAAGCTCCGATTCTCAAGAGTCTCCGGTTCCTCAGCTCAGCAAAGGCTTTCTTTTGCGGGTGAGGCGGCCGGTGCATGGATGGATTGAGTTCGCATCCCAGGCGACTTCATCTGCCCTGGATTCTTCGACGACGAAGCAAAGCGCCACAAGCGATGCAAGGCTTGGAACCCAGATCCTTCCAGCTTCCGGGATGGCTCACAATGGCTGAGGGTCCCAGTGCCGAAGCCACGCTTGCGCGGGGCTCAGACTTCTTGTCTTCGCATCTCCTTCCCATCTTCCCATCCCTACAGGTGCGCACGCGCTGGCAGGAGATGGGGATGATGGGGATGATGGGGGCATGAGGCAGGGCGTCTCACAAGGTGAAGGGGCCATCCCGTTCCCGACCGGTGCCTGGGGTCTCGTGCCAAAGGTCGGGTTTTAGGACCCAGTGGAAGCTCTGGATCAAGGGCTCTTCAAAATCCTTGCGCAACAGCTCGCGTTCGATGATCAATGCGTCATGCAGCTCAATTCATAAGAGCTGCACTCGAGACTGCAAAATTGAGCTTCGAGAGGGGTGTACCCACTTTTACTTTCCGAACGTTGTTGCATAGCAGCATACTGTACCTTCACAGTCGCACTTTTCCCTTGGAGTCTCCGGCTGCTGAGCCCTTCCCGATGTGTTGCAGCGTTCAGTAGGGAATCTCAGGAAGACTTGGAATTTTAAAAGTGAAAGTCAGAGTCAGACCCTCGCCCTCACCGCGCGCGATGAGATGAGAGCCGCCTTGTCGGAGCTCGTGAAGCCAGGCCAGGGCCAGTCCTGCCTGCTGCTGAGCTTTTCTTGAGCGAAACAACTGCCAAACTGCAATGCAGCTCTGTGGCTCTGTGGCTCTGTGTGTTCTCTGTGTTCTCTGTTGCAGCTCTGTCTCTGTCTCTGTCTCTCTGGCGGCGAGGCGGCAAGGCCAGCAGCCTGGAGAAATGCTGGTGCCGGTGCTATTTTTCGATGATGCTGATCCTGGTCGTCGCTTGGCCTTGTTTGCTTTGCTTTTGAGTTTTTTGGGAACTCTTCTGTCTTCTTTCTTCACTCAGTGTTTGGATCCCCCCCACCCAGGCCCAAGGGCCCAATCCTCCCCTGCTGAGGTCTCCGCTGTTCTATTCATCGTGATGGGTTCAATGAAAGACTTGACTACAACCGGAGAAGTTTCTGATTGGGCGCTGGAGTGGACCTTTGACTCCAGGGGCAAGGGCCTTCTGGCGATTGCAATCGGATGCGCCATCAGTGTTTGTACAATTCTGCTGTCTTGCTCTCCCTTGTGCTTCGCGCAGTGTGAGAACCCGGAGTTGACACATGCATGGGGACAGGAATGCTCGAGGTGCGCGAAGTGTGTCAAAGCGAAGTGTTGCTGCTGTTGCGTCATCTGCTGCAACTGCTTCGACTACTACTGCTGCCGACGAAGGATGCAGCGCATGCAGCAACCCCGCGCAGAGGAAGCGGAGTATGTTCCGCGTGTAGACTTGTATGAGCAGCCGCAGATCCCGGAGATGGTGCAAATGGGCCCCGGAGCTGCGCTCTGAGCGGCAGAGCTGAGCACTGCTGAGCACTGCTGAGTGCAGCGGCGCAGCGAATCGGTTTCCGTTTGGCGCCGCCGAAAGGTGCGGCACGGCAGCTTAACAAAAGGCAAGGCCCAAGGCAAATACAGCCCAGCTGCACCTGGGGCAGAGAGCTTCAGCGTCACCGCGGGCCGTCACGAAGTGACGCTGCCCAGCTGAGCGTTAAACTCTCGCTCTCGCGCTCGCTCTCGGCTTCGAATCTGGAAGTGCCCTGAAGGGGAATATGTTCTGGCATGTGCAGCCGCTGCGGAAGCGCTGGCACAGGCTGGCGCCCCAGTAAACATAGCCGGTGCTGCTTGAAGGGCTCTTTTTTACAGTGGTATCCCGTCTTCGGCTCGATAGGGAGATTCGACAGTGCATATACTCATACCAGCAAGTCACAGACGTTGCATGTGAGCGGAATGTTCCTGTGCCGTGCCACCTGCGCCATGGAACTGCCGCGCTCGGTCCGCGGGTCCCTTCGCTCCCTTAGCATTTGAAAGCAGTGAGAGACGATCTGACACCCGCATGTCTCATGGCGAATGGCGACCTGCCTTGAGTGCTTCTTGACGTCGTAGCGCCGTAGAGTTTGATGTTGTGACTGACATGGCACATGGAAAGGCTTTTCTGTGAAATCATTTCCCTGGGGCCCGCCGGGTGGATGAACCACAGCGCCAGGTTCTTGTCTCACTGCTTGAGTCGATTGCTTATTAGAGCCGTGATGTATAGGGACTTCAGAAAGAGTACGCAAGCCGCAAGCTCTTCGACAGACACGCAGAGTCCACAGAATCTAGGAAGCCACGAAGCCTTGAGCCAGCGCGCGCGCGCCTTGGGAGTGCGGCCCCGGGCGCCCCGGCCGCGGCCCGGGCGCCCGGCGGCCCCATGGCTTTTTTCTGCCTCTCCCGCCGCGGGTGCTCCCAGCTGCAGCCCTGGCCATGGCAGAAAACGCCAGGGCGAGGGCCCTCCTGGCTTCTGCTGGCGGCGCTGTCTGCGGCCTTGGACCTCCTCCCGGTGACCGAAGGCCAAATCAAGGCGCGCCCCGCGCGGGCGGCGAGGGCGCACGGACTCTCTCTCTCTCTCTCTCTCTGCGTTTTCTTTCCATAGCTGAGGTGATCACGCCGCCAGAGCTCCTTTCGAAGTTTCATGGCAGCCGTGGGAGGAGACTCCGCATATGAGAGACCGGAGTGTCTAAACAAGTCAGAGAGCACTGACACAAGAGGATCGCGGGCTCCACCGCCACCTTCGGTGCACCCTTTTACGGTGATGTCGTTATGGGTCGACTAGTCTGATCCCGAGACGTCCTCCTAGGTCACCTTCTCTGCAGTTCCTTGCATCCCAGGTCTACGGCCTCTCGAAGCACAACGACGTCTACTGCAGCCAGGCGGGACAGCTTCGCACGGAAGACGAAGTGCAAGCATGGTAAGCCCTGGGAAGCTCTACCTCTATCAGTGTATCAGCCTCTGAGGAGGACTACGATGTCCCAAGCCCCGAGACCTTCCAGACGGAAGGCAGCAGCTACCGCAAGGCACGACAACAGCGTAGCAGATGCGGGGTAGGGGCATAAGAGAGAAGCGAGGAGAAGGATTGTTCTCCATCCACTGTTGCTTTTTTCCTCGCCCTCGCTCTAGCTCTCTCTCTCTCTCGCTCGCGCGCTCTCTCGCTCTCTCGCTCTCGCTCTCGCTCTCGCTCTCGCTCTCGCTCTCGCTCTCTCTCTCTCTCGCTCTCTCTCTCGCGCTCTCTCGCTCTCTTCCCTCTCTCTCGCTCGCTCTCGCTCGCTCCTCGCTCTGTTTTGTCATCGTTGGATAAGTGTGCCGTTCTGCAAGGTGAAGCTGCTGAACATCATCATGGTGCGTCGGGGCAAGTGCTCTTTTACCACGAAGGCCTTCGTTGCCTCGCCTATCTGTGTCGCGACCTGGTGCACAAGTCTTTCGCCAAAAGCAGAGGTTAGCCGACTCTTGAATCCCTTGCGTCTCATTGCAGACCAGCATAAGGCATAGGAGTCACCACTAGCTCAGCATGGGCAAGGGTTGGGATGTTGCGATTGGTGGGCGTGACATTGTTGAAAACCCATGTGCAGGTCAAGGTGGCGCAGGACAAGGGTGCGCACGCCGTGATCATCGTGGATCGTGAGGCGTTTGAGTGATTTGAGTGCTGCACACAGTGGGCTTCCGGCTCTTTTTGTATGCGGAAGAGGATTCTCCCCTCACGGCCGAGAGTCTTGCGAACATTATCGTCGCCGACGACGGCTATGGCAGCAGCGTTTACATTCCCTCGGTGGGCGAAGCCTCATCCGTCTCGCCCGGCCCTGCCCCGTCTTCAGGTGTTGATCTCCAAAGAGGATGGCCAGCAGCTCATTAGCGCGGCCCAGTCCACCGAGGCTCGGCACGAGCGGCGAGCGCCCTCGGTTCTCTCTTTCTTCCCTGTGGGGGGTCCAACCGGTGTCCGCTGCAGGTCGTCATCGAACTCGCCTGGAATTTGCCAACGGACCACGTGGTCACCATGGACATGTGGATGAGCTCCGGCTCCAGTCAGTCCATGCAGTTCCTGAAGGTGAGGCAGAGAGCGGAGAGCCTCTCCTTCCTTTCAAGGTTTCATGTCCTGTGGCTGCCGCAGGACTTCGCTCCTAAGCGAAGGACACTCAACGAGGTTATGATTTTCAATCCACATTATGCGCACATCTCAGTTCCGGCATTGGGGGCCCCACAAGAAGACAGCTCTTCAAGCGCTGGACAAGGCCGTCTTCTCCATGGACACCAATGACATTGTCGAGAGCTCAACGAGAAGCATGCATGGCATGCATGCGTGTGAACAACAAGCTGCGTCTCAGGGCGAAGGGCGACGCAACTGCAGGCGATCTACGCGGGGGTCTGCTTGGAGAACGCGGGCAGCAAGGGCGAGTTCTGCGCTGAGGACCAGCGCTTGTGCTAACCCAGCTGTCTGCGAACTGTAACACGAAGGGGCTGGTCGAATGCCGCGTCCAAGCGCAGCCACAGTTCCACTGTCCAGAGTCGGAGACGGGAAGGAGCCCTTGAGCTCAAGAGCTCAGCGTCTGATGTAGTTGTGAACACGGACGGGCAAGCTGCAAGATGCTGCAAGCTCGTCCGGCGTCCTTAGGTCCTTAGCTTGCGCGACTGGGTCACCTGGGATTGGAATCGTCTTTAGGAAGGCCTCCAAATGTTCTGAAGCTTCTTCATGCAGTCTCAGCCAGGACCCCGACGGTGCCGGGGATGTGACAGGCAAAGAGGAGCCACGTGGAAAGAGCTTTCGCGGCTCTCGCGGCTTTCGGGAGGGAAAGAAGAGCCCTCTGTTTGTCATCGCAGGTTCTTGAGGAGGATGTGCGTCAGCTTTGCATCCACGAAGCTACAAAGGCACGCAGACTGAGCGGCTGCGACAGTGGAGCTGAACCTTGAAGTCGAAATCTGGAGCTCTGCAGGTCGCCAGGTGGGACCACGTCACGTCGATTTTCTCTCTTTCCTTCTCCTATCTTCTCCTCTTCTCCTTTCTCGTTCTCTCATCTGTCGAGGAGCAGCATGGAGGTCAGTCGAAGTGGGCAGGCCGTCGAGCGCCGAAGCTCAGACTGAATCTCTCCCACGAGCTCTGCGTTGCATCCAAGCTGAGGTACGCGGAGAAGTACTGGGACTACATGGAGAAGTACCCGCAGAGGAGCCCCTGCGCCGCGCGCCACGCCGCCAGCGCATGAACGCAAGTCGCAACGCCGCAGTCGCGCACGCAACATGCCCACCGACACGGCTCTTCGACGCTCGCTTCCCTCTCCCTCGCCCTCTCTCCCTGCTTCAAACTTCAAACCACAAATCCTAGACGCCCCCCAACCGGTCTCATGCCTCCAGCAATGGCATGTTGGCATTCTGACATGAATATATTCCGTTGCTTGTTTCTTTCTCAAGTGGTCCAAGACAGCACAGCCCTTGATGCATAGCAGTGAACCAGCCTGCTGTCCGTGCAAGGGCAAATCATTAGGTCCTTCGGGCTGTATCCAGATCCTTCCTCTGAAGGGGGATTTCCATATTTGGGGGAGAGCGCTGTGCCTGCTGGTTGGCTTTATGTGCTTCCCTTTGCAGAGTTTCCTGCTGGCAAAGCTGGAGTTCCGTAGCGCGGTCACTGGGGTCTCATGCTGCCATCTCTGTAGGTGTATTTTTCATGCCCCGATAATGACAGGCGCAATTGTGGTATAACCATTTGTGATGCCTCTCACGCTGTAGTATTCTGGCTCTGGCAATGAAGCGCTGTAGAGGTGCTTAAGGCTTTCTGTCCTTTGAAACAAGTTTCAGTGGAGCCAGATTGCCGCAAGTAGATGCTGCTCTCTGGACCTCCGCCTGGCTAGGAGTGCTACAGCCGGACATCCGTGTGAGTTAGAACAGTTCTGTCTCTTCGCGCGTCTTCGTTTCGCCTTGGAACCTGAGCAAGTGAAGACTGCCAAGCCAGTTGCAACGACTGGGATCGTGACGATTGCCAAGACTGTTCCTGATGCACCGCTGAGCTGGAGCACTCGGTGTCCAGGACTGCTGTTGGAAGAGTTGTTGTGGTTGGCGTGGGTTTCGAGGTGATGATTCCCCCGACAATGCAGATTGTCGCGAAGTGCAAGAGCACCAGCGGATCTGCTGCGAATGTCCTTGGCCTTGCAACATGGTGAGCACTGCTATCGTGATCCTATCGCGGTTGATGAGCTCGCTGCCGACTTGGCAGCACGAGTGGCCGGACTGTGGAAGAGATTTGGAATGAAGCTGTGCAGACCACCGCGGAGGTCTCCATGCGCTTAATGGGGCAAATCTTTGAGGAAAGGCAGGATTTGTGTCGACTGGCAATGTTTGAAAGCTTTGTTTGCTCGACTGTGCATGTCGAGCCGCAGCCTGCTGCAAATGAGAATGTGAGCGGCCTTGCTCAGATTGATGCCGCCCTTGGCGTCGCTGCTGCCGAAAATGGCACGGCGACTGAACCGCCGTCGGTGCTGCGATCCTTCTCTGCGC